GGGACGCCCTGGGGGCCCCCGCAGCCCCCCTGAGCCCCCCGGTAGCCCCCGGTACCGCAGAAAGCTGTGGTGGCCAGGCGGCTCCGCTCCAGGGGCGGCGCCCACTTGCTCCAGATGCCGTGACAGGCGGGGTAGGTCACGCCCTGCCGAAAGGGGCAGGGTCAACACGGGCAACGCCCACCTGGGCCACGCCCACCTGCCACACCCTGATGGGCGTGGTCCAGGGACACCAAGGGACACACCCAACCCGGCCACGCCCACTCTGACCACGCCCACCTGCCACACCCTGATGGGCGTGGTCCAGGGACACCAAGGGACACACCCAACCCGGCCACGCCCCCGCCATTGGGAGCGTGGAAATGGCCACGCCCCAACCTCACCAGCGGAACACCAAAATCCGCCCAGAAACACCCCAAAAACACCTTAAAAACACCCCAAACCACCCCAAAACAAACACCGCTAAAACACCCCAAAACCACTCTAAAACAAACACTGCATAACACCCCAAAAACACCTTAAAAATATTCCAAAACCACCCCAAAACCACCCCAAAACAAACACCACTAAAACACCCCAAACCAGCCCAAAAACACCCTAAAACGACACGAAAATCAACACAAAATTTCCCAAAACACCCCAGAGACACCCAAAATCCTCCAAAACCGCTCCTGCTCTTTTGTACGCACATGAAAACAGCCCCAAACCACCCCAAATACCCAAAACTGCCCGAAATGCCCACAAAACCCGGCGCTGACCTCCACCAGCCCCTGCATGACGCGCACGGCGATGACGCAGCCGACGTGGGTGCGCGCGGCTGACGGGATCAGCATGTTCAGCACCGAGGTGGACACGATGGCCAGCCCGAACACCCTGGCCAGGGGACACGCAGGTGACCGCCACGCCCCGGGCTCACCTGCGGGCTGGCCACGCCCCCCAGGCCAGCGCTCACCTGTTGGCCGCGAACTTCTGGGCGATGAATCCGCCAGGGATCTGCGTGACGATGTAGCCCCAGAAGAAGGAGCCGTGGATCATCCCCACTGTCTCAGGGTCCCAGTTGAACTGGGCATGCTGGGGAAGGCCCAGGAGGGGTCAGAGGGGTGGGGGACATGGCCTGGACACGCCCTGTCCAGGTGTGCACCCCCACACCTACCTCTGTCCCTTGTTCTGCAGGTATCCCAGAGTTGTGCCCCACCCCCGGTGACCCCGCACCTGTCCCAGGCCCTACTGCACCTTTACCTGTCCAGACCCGTTA